GGCGGGGGGGGGAAGGAGCTCCCGCAGCGGCCCCACCCCGGGCTGCGGCGGGGAAGCCCGGGCACCGGGATGCTCTCTCGGGTGATCCGCTCCAGCCTGCAGCGGGCCCTGCCCAGCCCAGCACTGCCGGCACCTGGACTTCCCAGGGGACTTCGGGAACGACCCCGCCGCCCCGCCGCGCTGCCAGGGGACACCCCCACCCCGCCTGCTGCCCTTTCAGTGCTTCTCTTTGCAGCAAGGATGCTGAGAGGCAAGGACAGGCCTGTTCAGTTCTTCGGGGAGATGCGATACCTTGGATTAGACCGACTACATAGTTGGGGAAATTGTTCTTTGCAAGCTTTTGGGCACAAACACCCTTTGTAGGCAGCGGCAGTTTAGAAGAGGTGCTGGAGCGGGGATGCGGGAAGGGAAGCACTAAATGGCGAGGAGAAAGTCGGTAGGACTCTCTTCCCCCAATGCAAGAACCAGGGGTCCTGGCACGAAACTCATCTAAAGCGAATGCAAGGGAATTCTTCATGCCGCGTGTCCTAGACTTGTGGGCCTCGCTGCCACCAGGCTGGTGGAAGCCCACGGCGTAGCTAGATTCACAAAGGGATTGGACACGTCCTTGGAGGAAAGGGGCATCGCTTGAGCACAGAAGTGAGGGGCACAGCCTCTGAATCAGAACCTCCTAGGCCTCAAATGCTGGAGGCAGTCTGGTGCATCTCACTGGCATGTGTTTTGTTTAGGGCCCCATCCCACAGACCAGAAGTTGGTGGACTACTTCCCATGAGCTAATGAAACTCCTCTGATGAGCGAGGCTTTGATGGATAGCGCCCGTGCATTTAGAGTAAGGAGCTGCACCTTTTACTTGTTTAAAAAAGGTCTGGTACGCCTGCAGCCCTCCAGGAGTGAGGGCAATTGCCGTAGCCAAGTAGTGCTTCGAATGTTGCGGATATAACAGATGTTAAAGAGTTTGGCTTTGCTAGAAGTACCTATAATACTACTATGCCTTTCCAAACTGCCTGTCCCTGTAACCACATGCATAACTCCCCCCCACCTCGAGCGTTCCACTTACTTGTGTAACATGACACATTTGTAAGGATCAGATTCAGGATCTGCTCCAAAGTGACTTTCACACCTTCTGCACTTCGGCCGCAGATGCAATTGCTCGCTACTGACAGTAGGGGAAGGATTTCCAGATGGAAAAAGGTGAATGAATTTTTATCATTACTGCAGAGCAGTGTTAATGAGACCCACTTAAAGAATCAATTTAAGTGCAGTATCCAGGGATTGAGATTGCACATTTCTATAATACTAAAACTGTGGTACCAACAGATGCAGGCACAGATCAAGATAGCAGTTGGTCCTTCTCCGCTACCATCAAGTTTTTGCTAACTGATTTTACACTGCTTTTTAGCAAAAAATAAAATAAAAAATAATAAAAAAAATTGTAACGTCCTCATCTTAATAGCTGAGCCTGACATATAAAGGATTATTTATGCCACTTTACCTGTTTAAAGTAGCCAGTATTATTTTGTGTTTTAGCTAGATGACAATATAAACCTGCATGCCTGGAGAGCTGGCTTTCACGGAGTGGTAATTAAATAAACATTCATTTCCATTTTCTAACTGAGAGAAGAGCTATGCAGCTTAGCAAACAAATCCATGGAAAATTTAAAATATGACATCAGTTTGTTTGTAGCTTCATCCAAGCAGGCAAACCTTTGTGCACAGGCCCAGCCCAGCGACACCAAGGGGGGAAAGGATCAGATACAACTCCAGGATTGAGACCATACCTCTTTAAGGGAAGCTTCATCAAGGCACCAAGAACAGACAGTCAACTAGGACAGCATTGTTTTAAAAAGCTAATGTGGAGTAGGGACATGCTAGTGCCTTTTCTTGGTAACTGTGTTCCTAAATAACATAAGCTACTTTTTAAAGTTTCCCATAGTAGAATTTGGTCATTTCAACTTTCATTTATGGCTTGGAAAATTCCCTTAATAGCACACTTTTTTTCCCCTAATAAAGTTGAAAATGCAAGCAAGAGAAAAAACCAGAAAAGGGGCTGGTTTGTTTGTTTGGGGTTTATATATACCAGTGATTAAAGCTGGACACACCTGGATAAATGAGTCTTTCTAAACATGACATTTTGTGAAGAATATTTACTCTCCTGATGATACTTCTGAAATGCCATGGCTAGATCAAGCATTTACTGCCAAACACTCTGATCGCTATGCCAGGCCATCCTAACGTTCTCTTTCATGGCTTCCAAGACAAGCTCGCCCTTCACTTTTGGAATCATGCCAGATAAAATCCATTAGCCACAAGCCAAGTGAAACAGGTTGTTTGAACTTGACTGTTCTGATCAGCGTAATTGGAAGCTGTTTCAATCAGCTGGTACTGTTGGAAACAGCACAGACATTGGGTCATGGCAAGAATCTGAAATCGTGCTCTGGATGGATTTCCTAAATGGATTTCCAGTAAGAGCTGATTCAGGAAATTACTTTCACCTATATCACTGAACCACTGGCCAGCTCCCAGGTTCCAGTTTGGAGGGACTCCTTGTCCTTTCAAGGTGTGGGTCGATTGTTTAGTGTCTTGTTAATTCAGCTCCTCCGGACTGAGGAGGGTTTGCTGACAGGCTTTCAGAGCTAGTCTTCTCTAAAAACAATCAATAATAACATCCTAAAGAGGGTGGTCTGGGCTGCAGGGATGTTAAGATGAGCAAAGATAACTTCATCATAAGCAAAGAGGCTAGTGCCCCTTAGTGGTGCATAGTGAGATTTTTCTCTGAGATGTAAAGGCTTTGGAAGGCTCTGTTCCCGTTAATGTGGAGTCAGAGAAACTGTTTTTTGCCCTCTAGTGGCTGATTCCACTGGTGATTAATCTAAAAACTGGAATTATGCATGGAACCAGAGTTTTAAATTCCAAGCATCTGTGATTTTCTTGCACTTTTTAAATATATGTTTCACGTGTTTTTTCTTTGCTGCCAGAAATAGCCATATAGAGGACCAAAGTACCACAAGACTTTATCTTCTGGCATTCTTGGATAAAGGAAATATCCTGGGGAAAGCAGACATCACATTATTTCTAATGCTTTTCCTGAGGCATTTAAAAAAACGCCTGATAAAAACAAATATAGATACTGGCTTCAGACTGAATGGCCCTGCTTTGGACTTTAATTAGGGATCTGTGCCATAAAAATGCACACTCTCAGAAGTACAGCTACAAATTTAGGGCAAAGGGCCTGCAGAAGTTTGAGAAAAGCAGAATTCCTGGTGTTATAACTGATGGAAAGTCCTCAGATTGGGACAAAGCACTTAAGAACATGCAGTGAAGAGCAATCCTGTGTTAGGCATGATGGGAACCTATAGAAAGGATGACCAAAAAGGCTTACCAGATCCTTTCTGCGCTTCTCTTCAGTCCAAAGCTTCTATTTTAGGAATCAGCTGCTCAGAGGATCTTTGTTTACAAAGCCTTGGGCTTGTCTTCAGTGCTGCAAGTAATAAGGGTTTTTTTATTACTTAACTCTATGCAGGTAAACTTATTATAACAAATCCTGTTTATAACAAACCCACTTTTAACAATCCCAGAGGCAGAAGCCAAATTTCTCATTATTACGGTGCAGCAAATTGAATAACCCCATTATAGCTTTTTCCCCTATCCCACGGGATCCATTATCATAAAGTTGGACTGTATTTGACTTGCTGATTTTTTCCCCTCCTAGACTTAAAATTAAACAGGAAACCCTGCACCCCTGCTCTTCTAAAAGGCCTACTGAATATTAGGTGAGAAGTGCTTGGGTACACATGCAGTAGAATGAGAAAATAAGAGGTCCCAGTGTTGAGGTTCTGCATCATTCTTGATAAAGTCAGCTAATTTTTGCTGCCTGCCATGTGGAATAATTCCCTTCTTGGAAAACCTCAGCACAGATGAGCAGATAACATAAACCCTCTCACACTCCCATTAAGACTAATGGACTGAGGTCAGCCATACTTGAAATCCGTAATGAATTTTATGTGCGTGTAGCCACCTGTTTTCCTGTAAATAAGAAATCTAATTGAAGGCACTATGATTTCCGTCTGAAAGCACCACATACTCTAGTGCTGTCGGTCACCTCTTGTCAATCATCCTGCTTTCCAGGCATCCTATTGTTTATAATGGTATATATTATATTTTTTCCTGACACACCCTCTTTCAGCATTCATGTCTGGATCATTAGTTACTGATATTTTCATTCCTTGGCTTTCATTTCAATGCATGCAGATAGCTTTTTAAGCATTCTTCTTCAGCATTTGCAACCCAGATATTTGAAAATGAAACTAAATGATAAACAGAAGATGTAAACAGCTCCATCCTATTTCATTATCCAGAGCTGAGTGAAGCCAAGCAGCTTGAGTGACAAACCTCATGTAAGAGCTTTAAGTCTTCCAGCTTTAATTAGTAACCTACAAAGCTGTTGTTAACACACATAATGAAAATATTCTGAACGTATGCTTTTTTTTACATTGGTTATATGGCCCTTTACCAATACCTTCCTTTTCTATCCTGCAGAAGAACTCAAGTGTTGCTGTACTACGTCAGACTAACAACTAAGTGTTGCTGTACTAAGTCAGATAAAAGGTTCATTAAGCCTAGTGTTCGGTCTCCAAGCCTCACAAGTAGTGGAGGCTTTATAAGAAGGATGTAAGAAACAGGACATGCATGGAAGATCCATCCTCTGTTAGTTCTTTCCCATTATCATCAGTAGGTTCCATCCCTTGCAGTTGTGT